TAAGAGTGATAGAGAAACTGAAACAATTTTATCAGATAAAGAAGACATAGACGATAGTATTACACTTCGTTTTAAATAGAAACAGACATGAGAGAGAAACACACAGACAGACAGACACAGAGAGAGAGAGAGAGAGAAAGAGAGAGAGAAAGAGAGAGAGAGAGAGAGAGAGAGAGAGAGAGAGAAAGAAAGAGAGAGAGAGAGAAAGAGGGAGAGAGAAAAACAGACAGACGAACAGACAAGCACTCAGACACACACATACACACAAACAGACAGACAGAGTGAGAGAGAGAGGGGGGATGGATGGAGAGAGATAAAGAAAGGGTGATAGAATGGGAGGAGTGCAGTAAGAAACATGGAGCGAGAGAGAGAGAGATAGAGAGAGAGAGCTGGTGGAGAGAAAGATAGAGGATGAGATGGGGACGGAGAGAAACAGTGAGGAGGGGGTGCTGATTTTTAATGGAATAAGTGAAGGTTAGACGGGGAGTAGAAAAAAAAGAAGAAAAAAGAACTAAACCCCAGTTAAAGATAACAATATATCGCTCGTCTGTAAAAATAGAGGGAGGGCGCGGGGAAAACGGCGCGCGAAAATGGCGGACAGGCAAGAAATGCAAGAGAGGGGAGGGCGGATTGGAGGAGAGGGGGAATGGGACGGCGGGCGGGTGGGTGGTGAGTAAAAGAGAAGTGAGAGGTGTCCCTTCCGCATGGACGTAGTGGGGTAGTGGGAGTGGTGATTGTAGAAAACAGTTAGGTTTAGCGGTCTGTCTGCAGTAGTCGAGTTATTGACGAGCGGAGGCGGTTGTGACACTCACTGATAGAATTGTCCCGCTTTTAGACATAGCGCTTGGATCGTTTACAGTAAGGTAGGATGAGTTAGTCTTGTAGTAATGTATAATTATCATTTTATCTAGATCTAGATTCTAGATCTAAATCTAGATCTAGATCTAGATCTAGATATATTAGATCTAGTCAAAATAATTTATAAAATGTATGATACAAGATTGTGTTCAAGGCTGATGCTAACATCAACTGATTTTGAAATCAACTTAGATCTAGATTATTTCGGTGTCTTTTAATTTTTTAAATGATGAAATAAATTAGTAAATGTAGGTTGTATAGACCTTGATCTAGATCTAGATCTAGTGTCTAGTTCTAGTAAACTGGTCTACACGTGGTAATGTGAACAGTGTGTATGAAATATCAGCATTAAATCATAACCAACAATATTATCATATTTTCATAAAGATTAAATAATATTATGTAATAGGCCTAGATTCTACCCTTTTTCAAATTAATTATTTCTTTCGAACTCGACTCTGAAATTATTCTTTTTCAATATTGAAATGCAAAGTGTTGCCCTTTTTAAGGGATATACAGCCAACGATGGCAGTCTTGTGCTTGTATTTCCATTACAGTTTGTAAGCTTTCAAAGATCAATGGATACCTAGATCTAGATCTAGTATTGTGTATTTGTAACAACGTACTCTGTAAAACACGTTTCCGGTCTAAATTCTGCACTGCTTTATGTGCCTTAAGCACGAATCGAAGTGTGTCCGTGTGTGTGAGCTTGCTTGCACGTTAGTATGTGTGTGTGTGTGTGTGTGTGTGCGTGTGTGTGTGTGTGTGTGTGTGTGTGTGTGTGTTTTAAGTGTGTTGAGGAATTATTGTTTTTACAAGCGATATGGAAAGCACAAAGAGTGCGTGTGTTTGTCGTGAGTGAGTGGTCGGGGGCGTAAAGCCCACGTGGTTCACTGCTGAGGAGAGGAAAACGCTTCCGCATTAAATTCTCTTCTCTCATGTAATGAATAATGTGAGGCTTACTGATAAAATATATGTGGTCTGGGGCGAACCAGAGAGAGCCTCTAACTAAGAGATTGCGCTATTCAGTACGTTTTAAAACATAAATACGATGGCCGTAGACCATTGTTTAGTGCTACAATTTTGGGGTAGATCTATAAATGTTTGTCATTCATAGCTGACTACTTCGATTATAGTTAAGTTGCTGCTTTGAAATAAGGAGAAAAATTTATTTTAAATATTTCAGTAAAGTTTTTTTTATAAAAGCTCCTACTTCATATCAAAAGGTATCAGATTTATTACAGAGAATATTTCACGTGTAATGTGCATCAGGTTATCTTAAACTTATCAGTTATTTCTCTTGGGGCGGGAACATAACAAAACTAATTTGATTTATAAAAGAATATTTATGTCTATGTAATTTACAAGAGCGAAATAAAATGTATAGCCTTGCAATGCTATGGGGTTCACATGTTAAAACAAAAAAGACACAAAAAGACAAAAGAACCCCCCGAAAAAAAGCCAAAAAGCCAGGAAAGACAATAGCCTACTGCGTCGAAACGCAAACATGAATTAAGAGGTATTTTCGAGTAGTTCTCGGTATTTTCATGTGGAAAGTCACAGCGAGGTTAACTGACTCAGGAAGTGAGGGTCGCAGGTAACAGGTCAACGTCTGGTCGGGTCACGACCTTGACTGCTAGTATTTTCCCCATGCTGACCTCTGACGTCAGTGAACTCGCTGTCTGAGGAAGGTCATCCAACTTTATTGTTATCCTTTACCTAAACGTCTGGTATTTTGGTCCACCAACTCTATTGTTATCCCCATCAAGATATCTAGACGTCTGGTATTTTGTTTTCAGACATCTGGTGCGTTGGTCGTCCAACTTTAATGTTATCCTTTATATCTTGACGTCTAGTCTTTGGTCATCTGCCATTTTTGGTATCCTTTATATCTAGACATGTGGTATTGTGGTATTTGATTTGTCCATGTATGCCTATTATTGCATCGTTCCTTTTTGCTTTGTAAAAAGATTGTCTTGCGTTGTGCTATGTTAGCTTTTTCTAAAACCAATCCGGTATCATAATGATAATCCCTTCACTGCCTTAACTTGGATAAGAATAGCTTTAAGGAAGGATAATACAACAGTTCTAGCAGTCAATGAGTCTGTCTCTGAGTATTGCTTGCACACTAAAATAAGTACGATTATTTCAGCTGAACTCCTGTCTACTCACGCTTGTCTTACTCATAGGATTGCTTTTTTCTGCTTTTCATAGGTCCATAACAAAAGGACAACATGTTTAAGTCCAACGGTTCCTACAGCCCTTCGGAAGAGAAGCCTGTCCAGAAAGGAGCAGATCACGATGAGGAGAAAGCGTTGTTCTTGAATAAGAATGAGAAGGAAGACCCCCCTCCCTACCCAGGAGACTACTCGTCTTATCCCATGACAGACGTCAAAGTGGACTTTTCTGGTCACCCTAATGGTGTTGCTAACGGCGGTCTTTCTCCTATGTCCCCGGTCGAAGGAAAGCTCCTTAACGACGACGACTCTGATGATACCAGTTCGGCTGATTCGGATAAAAACACAAGGCATACGTGGGGGAGGAAGACCGAGTATGTGCTGTCTATGATCGGGTACTGCGTAGGACTTGGAAATGTCTGGCGTTTCCCCTACGTCTGTATCAGGAATGGAGGAGGTGAGAAGAGTTAATGCTTTGATTTTCCGACATTTTGTTCTTGCGTTTCGATACGGCTAAATTACAGTAGTACTATTCAAGACACATTATTCTTTAACATTGTATTTCCCGTACTCATGAAACATCTTGAAAACACAAAGACACATTTTAATGAATGTGAGTAAAGTAATGGCCATGGTTCTGAGTGACCATATTATTTTTAATGCGTTCGTTGTGTGTATTGTTCTATAAGTTACGGTTTCTTTCGTTCGAGTTTCTTTTCCCCCTATTTCTGTAAATTTGTTAATCATTCGATTGGTTTCTAATGTCCTCTGATCCTTTAGAAACGTTAGTCTTCTTTGTCCTGTGAGACACTTACCTTGACAAGAAAAGTAAAATTATTCGTCCTATGGGTTATACATATCATGGCCTTATTCTTCCTGAAAATAATAATGCATATTATGTCTTCTTTAACCTGTGTACCTTCTTGACATTGGCTAAATATATAAAATTCAGGTTTAAAATGCGACTTAGCACTTGCTATAAAACATAATTGTGGTTTATTTCTTCAAAGACTAAGATTAGGCCTACTTTAAGAAACGTTCCAAATGACCCGCTTATAACGCTCTGTAAAATAGTGCATTCAAGTGATAAATCTAACAAGACTACACTTTTTTTGTTTTTGAAATTCTATAATTTTCAACTTAACCGAGCTCTAGCTTCCTTCTCTTTGGATCCGCACTCTTTTCAGATCAAACTTGAGTAAGATGCTGTGGGAATTTGCGGCAAGTCCTCTCAGTAAAGTTCACTTTTGAGTAAGGCGCTAAACAAGCAGATGTCTGTTTCACCTTCTCTTTCTTGGTCAATTTATGCTTTTTGGGGAGTTAATCTTAAAGAGGGATCATGGTTAATTTGGCTTTTTCTGTTTGATTAAAATTGCCGATGTCATTTTATCTTGTTTTGTGTTAGGACTACTGATTCTAAGCTCGTGATCATTCACACACAAATCTTTCCAAATAAGTAATCATTACATTTTCGTAATGACAAACTGACTTGAGTATTATCATATTATTCATTTCCCCTGCACACCATTCTGTCTTTTATTTGTGATTGTATTTTTTCTTTCTTATTTTCTTTCTATATTACATTGATGGACTCAACCAACTCAGTATGACTTCTTCTAATATAAAAATCCTTTTCCTATTATTTTAATAATAAGGCACATAAAGCAGTGCCTCCGTACCTTTTAAAATGTTTCTCCAACAATAATTTCGTGTATTGTTTGCTTTTATATTTCCTAATCATAATATTCTACCATAACAGACGTTGATATTCACCGGATATGCTATTTTTACAGGTGCTTTCCTCATCCCGTTCTTCATCTGCCTGACGTTGTGCGGTCTACCCCTGTACCTTATGGAGGTAGCCCTGGGCCAGTTTGTCAACCTGAGTCCGCTGCACGTCTTCAACATCTGCCCCTTGTTCAAAGGTACTTTTTTCTAATCTTTTCATAGTTTTTTCTTATTTTTTGTTTCTAAAAAGAACTATTTAGGATAACGGGGGGTTCGACATACTATTTCTGAAAGTTGAATTTTGCGCACAAACACCCCTCTGGTCAAACTAAACAAAGCCAACTATAAAGTAAACTTACGAATTTTTCGATCCGTGAAAAGGGAATTAAAATGATTAATGCAATAGTATACTTTTCAGACCCAGACCAAATTTGTAGGAAGTGTTGTGGGACTTCTTTCACAATTTCCCTATTCTGTTTTTTTTTAAATTTGTCCAGGAATCGGCATCTCCATGAACGCCCTGTGCATCATCTGCTCCTGGTATTACACGATGATCTTGGCCTGGTCCCTCATCTACCTGGTGTACTCCTGCATGTCCCCTCTGCCTTGGACGCGCTGTGACGGATGGTGGAACACCGAAAATTGCGTCACCCCTCAGATGAGGAAAGAAGCATTACAGAACGCATCACTAGCTGGGGGTAACCTCACTGATCTCGTTGGGTACGGTCTGAACGCTACGGTGTTGCTCAACGGAAACGATACGTTCTCGAACTCCACCCTTATTGGAAATGTTACCCGCAAGACCATTGGTGCCTCAGAGGAATTCTGGCTGTGAGTATACATTCTATCATCATCATCGCTGTCATCATCATCATCATCATCATCATCATCATCATCATCATCATCATCTGGCTGTCATCATCATGGCTGTCATCATCATGGCTGTCATCATCATGGCTGTCATCATCATCATCATCATCATCATCATCATCATCATCATCATCATCATCATCACCATCACCATCATCATCATCATCAGCCATCGATGACTCTTTAAAGAATATTTTGAGAGTAAATACTGGATTTTTGAAAATCATGTATGCGCTTTCACAAAAAAAGAAGAAATACCTGTAATATATTATTATCATTTCGCAAAATTCTCGAAAATTGGCACATCCCTGAGAGAGCCTTATTAGAGTTTCTAAAAGCGGTTTTACGATCATGGAAAATTCCACTTTTTTGCTGTTAACAGTGGCTGCTATCGCAGAGAACCCAGGAAAATTCAATGATTCAGGATATCGATCGCGGGCTGCGGGTGACTCATAGTGCGTAACTAGACAGTGTGTTGCGCTGCGTTATTCTCCATAACAAATTGATTAAATTTTAATCGAGTTCGGGTGCAGTGCGCAATATTCCCTGCAGTGTTACTAAATTTATCTTTCTTTGTTTGAAAACGGCGACTGATGATATACGCATCTGGTGGGAACTGAACACGTTGTGTTGGTTGTACTAAGCATGATAATATAATTAATTTTGCGTTTCTGTTTTGTACTTTTACTGGACATGGAATATTACTATAAATAATGAAATAATTATTATACACACACACACACACACACACACACACACACACACACACACGCACACACACACACAAACACATTTGGTCTTAAACCAAACGAAACTGATCAGACAAGATCACGAGGTGGACAAGAAAACAAAGAAAAAAGTTAATTTGTCTAATTCAAGCCGATAGTTCTATTTGTAGAGCAAAAAACGTAGTCAACAATGAGACTGCGTTCTAAAAACAAAACTCTATTCGTAGGTCCGTCAATTTATGGGCTCCTCTCGTTTGCAACAGCTGGCGTTGTTGGCTGATGCGTCACCTCATGCAAATAAAAGGGGTACCGCCTTGGCAGGCAAACTAATGCATAATACAAATTCACTGCATAATTCCCGAAAAAAATTATTCTCGTACTTTACTCCGAATCTTTTATAAAAATAATAATATTTTGCCCATGAATTGAAGTCACTAAATTTATTATTCTACTTAGATTCGTTGAAATAATACATGGAAATATGAAAGGTCAGTGCTCAGTAACACCAAGAGCAATACGAAAAAAAAAGAGTAACCTTTTACCCCAAATGTACAAACAATAATCATGTTTGGCGTAATGCCAACTAAATGAATATCCACCAGTAACATATATATATATAATATAAATATATTGCATGTGTGTTTGTTTGTGTGTATAATTATTATGTTTCTGTTTATGTGTCTGTATGTGTGTGTGTGTGTGTGTGTGTGTGTGTGTGTGTGTGTGTGTGTGTGTGCGTGTGTGTGTGTGTGAGTGTGTGTGTGTCTTTAAACATTCAAAATAATTCCAAATGTGTATTCGCCCTTACACGTTATCAGAATGTTGGTAGCCTACTTACATAAAACCTTTGACGCATCGTTTAAATCTATCATTAAATATGTGTTTTCTCCATATAATTTTCAGGCGTAATGTCCTCCAGTTGTCTGACAGTCTGGCGGATATCGGCACCATCCCCTGGCAGTCTGGTGTGGCTCTTCTTGTGGCCTCTATCATCGTGTTTATGTGTATTGTCAAGGGCGTGAAGACTGTCGGAAAGGTACTAAAATCACCTATTTTATCTAGTCTTATCATGTAAAACTCATGTATAAAGGGATGTGGTGGGGGTATTTTCTTCTACTATTAGGTATTCTGAAATACAGTTCTATTCCAATATTTTCTTTCTTTAATGTTACTTAAATTTAGTGTGTGTGTGTATGTGTGTGTGTGTGTGTGTGTGTG